TTTTATTTTATAGACTTTTATGACACAAACATGGCGGCCAAATTTCTTGTTTTTTTAGGGAAAAGTTTAAAAAGTCAGTTAGTGGTAATGCACAAGTATAATTGTGTAAATCGCAATAATGTGACACAGTATCAAAGAATCCCTATTAAAATTGAAGCTAGTGTTTATGAGTGAGGGGAAATTCCGAGCATGTCAGCTTGGTCTTTTTCAAAATAAGGTTAGTTAAAAGACCTTTTTTTTTTTTACGATAAAAATAAAATTCATTCTCCCTACAATAGCATTTACATTTGCACCAATAATTCATAAATATTGCCTGCTCCTGCTTACTCTTAGAACACGTTTTAGTCGTCAAAGCTTTCATGGAGGAAGAACAAGTTGTTGTTCCTGTACTAAAGGCTCCCAAATGGCTCATGGACGTGGCTTTTCTTATTGACATTACACAGGAGCTAAATGTCCTAAACAAGAAGTTACATTGCAAGTGGCAGCTTGTCAGTGTTGCCTATGACAATGTAAGTGCACTCTTAGAGAAACCTCTGCCGATTCCTAACATACAAAGTAACTCATTGACTCTGCCACACCATTCAGTAGTAAGAATACTGATGCCATTGCAAAGCTTCAGGCAGATTTTGATCACATGATTTTAGACTGCAAAGCACTTGAGCAACTTTTCAGCTTTTTGCTAACACTGTAGCTTTCAATTTGGAATATGCCGCCATCCCAACCATTTATTTTGTTCTTTAAATAGTGCTGATTTGACTTCAGTGCAATTCTGACCCTAAGGCTATGTTTAGTGGAAATTGTAGAAAAAGAGACAAGCATGGACAATTTATAAAAGCAGCACCACCCACATTCCTTGAGATTTCCAGGTCGTTCAAGCGGACTATATGTCTTTTTCGGGAGTACCTATTTGTGTGTAAATCTCTTTTTACTATGATTTGTAACAAGTCCAATGTCAGGGCCAAACTGGCTTCCTCAAGCTATACGGAGGGTCTCAGTAGCTTCCTCACTCAAGCCAAATGTTGCTCAGCTGTGTAAGAAGATGCGCTGACAGGCGTATGAGGAAGAAAGTGAAGCCTAGTTCTTAAGAACCTGTAATGTCTCATTTGTTATTACTAAATATAAAGCGGATTGTAACAGTTGTACTTTACTGAATTTGTAATCACTGTTTTGTGTGGAATACTTGATGCGGCCCACTCACACCCAGACTCTAACTCATGCAGTCCCCGGATGAATTAAGTTTGAGACCCCTGCTTTAGATATTTTTTTTTTAATACAATATATATATACACACACAAACACACACACACACACACACATACATATATATATATATATATATATATATATATATATATATATATATATATACATATATTTTTTTTTTTATAAAATATATATATACACACACACACACACACACACACACACACACACATATATATATATATATATATATATATATATATATATATATATATATATACTTATATAAGAAAAAGGAGTAAGAGTGTGAAAGGCAGAGTACATATATATATATTGTATTCTATGCTTATACAATGAGACATCTGTAACAACAGTTATAAGAGTGTTGTTACAAATATCTAAATTGCATCCTTCAGTCTTCGTGAGACGATGGAGTAGCTACGTAGTCCCACACTTTGACGAGTGGCTGACTAGGCCAATCCTAGAATGACAGTGAATGTATAACGATAGATTAAAAAAGGTAGATTTGTATCAAGATCTATTATACGATTGTTGAGCCTTCGTTTAAGCTTTTAAATAGATTAATGTGACACAAACTGAACAAGGCTTTAATTATCAAAAGACACAATACGAATATTACATTTCGTTTAATGCACTACAAGATATAATTAATGTAAATTAAGCTTAACATACCATATTTATAGCACACACATTTCTTGAAAGAAATTTCTGTTCAAAAGAATAAACATCAGAAGAACAAAAAGTTGGCTAACCTACAATATGAAAAGCAAAGAGGAAAGAAGATGTATCTATGTAAAATTGTGAATTTGCTAACACCGTAATGAATCAAAGTACCAAATATTTGGATTTGGTTTTTTTCCATTAGAGTTATACCAGATGTTTAAATGGATTACAAGATACTAGAAACTAACATGTCTATGATGAGTTTCGCATATCTCGAGGAAGAATCGGATATCGTGTTTAAGTATATTAACATAAGTATCATAAGCAGAAATTAATATATTTTCAAAACATAAAATATTCAAAAATATATGGAAGTTAAAATACTTTTAAATAAACTAATGGGGATAATACACAACGTACTAAAACGGATGAGACTTATTTACAATATAAATTTATAGACATCTAAAAAAAAAAAGGCCCCACAAATTATGGAACTAAACACTAAATATTATATATATTTGCACAAATCCTTAAAAAAATGCAGCTTTGATCACTAATACTTGAAAAGTCTTACTTAATTATTACACATTAAGCACCTATAATCACGCATATTTTTTTTTTTAGTAGCATAGAATTTTATTTAAGATAAAGTGACACTACTATAATTGATTACACTATTTTAAAAAAAAATAGACATTATATCAAAATGCATATGAATCTGAAATTAAACGCAATTACAATACAAATAATGGTTTGGCTCAAATTTGTGACACTTAAAAAATTTTGTTTATAAGAGAATTATATTCAATACACAAAATATATGTATATATATATTGGTCAATGTTTAAGATTTCGCTAATATCATTTTAAAATCATGCTTAACACATTATTTAAGTGTGTGGTTAAAACTGCTTTTTAAACTATTTGTGACTTTTTGTAAGTTTAATCTATGAATATTTTAAAGGCATATGTATTTATCATATTGGTCAGCCTTTAAAATATTCATAGATGAGACTTACATAAAGTCACTACATAGTTTCAAAAGCAGTTTTAACCACACAGTTAAATAATTTGTTAAACATGATTTTAAAATGAAATTAGCAAAATCTTAAACATCTGGGATATGCCTTTCATCATGTCAAATTAGACTCATGGGCAAAAAAAAAACAACACCAAAATACAAACAAATAAACAAATACGCCACAGATTTACCGTCAATGGATTACCTTAAATTGCCCAGGAGTTTATTTCACGGAAAGACGTTTACAAAAACAGAACCAGTAGAAATAAAACAATCATCAAAGTCGTAAACTCAATGCCAATATATCTAGAACATTTGCAAGCATAAAACCTAAATGTGACTGGATGGTTTCAGACCTTTGAATGAATGGATAAAGCCTTTGTTGTTGTTTTTTAAATTATTATTATTATTGTTTAAATATACATTTATAATGGCATGCGCCTTTCAAAATATGTTTAAACAAGTACAAATTAAACAATCGGTCTTCTATCAAAAAAAAAAATGGCTTTAAAGGTGAGCTAAAGTAATACATCATACTTCGCATTGAGTTCTATGGAAATTGTGCTCCGGAGCTGATAATGTTTAATTTTTGTTTTAAAGCTCTTCATTCTTTTTTTTAATAATTCAGGATGAATTTAAAAAGTTTAAATCATTTATATTGAATGTTTGGGCCATTTTTTAAAAACGAATCTAGGGGAATTGAAATGGAAAAAAAAAATTCCAATGATATTTCGGTAAGCTCATGTTAAAGAAACTTTTACATATTCTCGCTGTGCTCTTTTAAAATAGTGTGTGAACGAATCTCGTCAAATTGAAATCAAATAAAATTTTCAAGAACATATTGGTAAGCTTCTATGATAGAAACTTTTACAAATTCTCGCTGTGCTCTTTTAAAATAGTATGTGAACGAATCTCGTCAAATTGAAATCAAATAAAATTTTCAAGAACATATTGGTAAGCTTCTATGATAGAAACTTTTTACATACTCTTGTTGTGCTCATTATTTATATTATGTGAAAATATGTAGAGACAAAATGTTATAGATATAGTAGTTTTCATCCATCCATGAGGTTCCATTTGAGCTATTGCCTGAAACAAGTGCGTCTCTAGACCAGTAGCATAACAAAATGATTGATAATTTGCACAAAATGACTCGCCTTACAGCTAGTAGTAAATTACCACTCCAGCAACAAGGGAACTTAGTTTCATGGCCAATTGTTCTCCACGAATTGTATACTGCTGCAATTGCTTACCATTAATGATTAGAGGATCTGGTGATACATCTTTTCCTCTTCTTAACGTCATTCCGTTTTTACATACGGGGCCTTAAATAAATGATCGGTTATCAAGATTAACTATATCAGGTTTATCTACTGAGACATCATAGTTATCGAGACGTCTGTAGTACATGACCACACTGGACCATAACTCTGTGTCCTCGCTTAAATCTAGGCCAGCACTTTTCCCAACAACGAGGAGATTGTTTGGGACTCTGTATATAATAACAGCGTTAGGTCGATGTCTCCTTTTCTTGACCCAATCTTTGGCAGCTTCAAAGTCATCCGACAAATAAAAGCCACTTCCGCAAGAAAAATCTCGACTACCCCATGAGCACTTTAAATCTATTCCTTGTGTCAGAAAGCTCATTAAATCGTCCGCGTCCTTAGCTCCATGAAACAGCAGCGTTTCACCTTTCTCTTCAAATTTATGATTTATTAACGTAGATGTTAGATCACTGTTGCAGCCAGTTTCAACTTTAATCACTTGCAAACGAAGTTTTCTAGTGTTTTCATCGTGGGCCGCACGTTGGTATACCTCATCGTCAAACCATTCACCCATTGGTCGATTGGCATACCTATCGAGAAATGGCATCATCGTCAGAAGAGGGTGAGTTTTGAAAAGATTTTCTAAATATTCTTTAACAAAGTAAAATTTAGAACGTGTCCTGTATTTATTGGATCTGTACCCCTCTACCATTTCCTGTGACTTGTCTTTGGAGAAACCGAGCCACACGAGGTTTGATTTCATATCACCTCTAAAGAAATCTCCCCTATTCTTGGAAATTTCTTTAATTCTATCTTCAAAAATGTGTTCAATAATGAAATAGGGTGATTTATGCATTGCTCGTTCATCTGTGATATCAATCATCTTCTGTGTGAACTCATCGCCCAAGCCTATAATAAAGCATAGCAGATGGCTTTCAGTAATAGTAACCATCTTCTCCGTTGGTGTAGTAAGGTCACTTCTATCAATGATGGAAAGTTGATCAATGCTGTGTTCAAGCTCTTTAATTTTTGACAATGTTTGAGGCAAGTTTCGTGTAGTACTTGATAACGTTATAGAGTCCACATCTTTTATGAATGACTGCAGCAAACTGTATAACCCTTTTAGCATTTCTTTAACACTTTCTTGTGCCTGAAATAATACATTTATTATCATTATTAAAGTTTTTATTTGGACATTTGTTTAGCAAAAAGAATTATGCTGAATGAAGATAAGTTGAGTAAAATTGCCCTTAAATTTTTAGGATATTAAATAGTTTGGTTCTCAATTCGTTAGGATTGATATTAATTATGCTAGAGGGAAAAACAAACTATAAAAAACCCATAAATCAAGGGACCTAATACATACGATGAAAACATTGACAGATTGATACTTGCATCGCTTTGTTTCAGTTCCAACTGATTTATCACTCTGTTGACATATTCTGGGATCAAGAGTGAAGCGGTAGAAAATTTTGTTTTGATGTCATCTGAGCTAAATGGAATCTCGTGTACATCAGTAATACTGTCACCTGTTGACGTCACATAGACAAATGGGATGACTTCCCTACTAAGTTTGATCCAGTGTCCGACTTGTTGACCCTGGGATAGGCACATTGGTGGAACTATTCCGAGCTTGAAACCTGTCAATGAGTTCACTACCTTCCAGGCTCGCTCCACTTCCATTTCAAAGCGTGATAGTGCGTCTTCTTCTGAGATTGGTTTTGTAGGAATGACTTCACAATTTTGTTCACTCTAAAATTCGGAAACAAAAACCTCTTTAATTTGTAATTATTAAGCAAAATAATATTTTCCATTTACACTTAAACTTAATGGAAATATATTTGTACATATTTTTTCTACATTGTTTTATCGAAATTTGAAGTGCATTAAAAAAAATGAAAAGGAGACACTTAAAAAATTTCTCACTTTGTTGTCTGTCTGCTCTGATGTTAAAATTTCTTGACCACATTCTGTTACAATAGATTTGTTTTCATTTTTTGATGAAGCTATTTCTTCAACATGTCCTGGTAATGTCGCATTTCCATCATGTTCTGAGACTAATATTTCTTGACTAATATCTTTTACTGTAGCATCGTCTTCCCGATCTGATATTAATAGTTCTTGACCAGTTTCTAGTACCTTAGAATGATCTTTATATTCTGTTTTCAACATTTCTTGGCCACTCTCTGATGCAGTAGAGCTGTCAATTTCTGATGTTAAACATGTTTCATTGCTTTCTGGTGCATGAGACTTGTTTTCACTTTCTGATTTTAACTTGTCTTGACCACTGCCTGGTTCCGTAGACTCGTTTTCATATTCTGATGTTAGTATTTCTTGATCACTTTCTGGTGCAGTAGAATTGTCTTCACGTACCGATGTTAAAATTTCCTGCCCCATTTCTTGTGCAGTAAACTTTTCTCCGTGCTCTAATGTTAAGATCTCTTGACCACTTTCTGGGACTGTAACATTGTCTTCATGTTCTGATGTTAATATTGCTTGACCATGGTCTGGTATTATAGAATTGTCTGTACATTCTGATGTCAACATTTGTTTACCACTTTCATGGGCAGTAGAATTGTCTTCAGGTTCTGATGTTAATATGTCTTGACTTTTAACTGATACTGTACAATTTTCTTCCTGTTCTTTTCCCAATCTGTTTTTATTGTCTTCTGCGACGGCAGATATGACTTCTGAGGATACTGATGAATTATAAAAAAAATTAGGTTTACTCAAGTATTAAGCTGTCAGCATTTTACAAGGGCATATTACTATAAATCTATATAATCCAAACGTATTTTAATGCATGTATATTATCTTCTTCTTTGTTCCATGGCTGCTTGGCTATATAACCTATTTCTTCTTAACATTTTGAGATAAAACTTAGCACATAGACTCGATGCCGATGACAATTAAGTGTATACAATTTTCAGCCCCACCCCCAAAAATCCTGTTTTTCAAAGACAGGTGAAAGAAATATAATGACGCTAATTTCAGGAAAAAAATACAACATTTCCGTTAACTGCACTAAATGATTTTTTTTTTTTTCAAATATCGCAAATTCGTTTGATGCGTAATATTTTTTTTTCTTTTTTTTTTTTTAAAAAATATTTTTTGAAAAAAATCTGCGATATAAAAGAGGGGCTGTGTCATTAAAATATTCCTTTAGTTAAATGATTTTTTTTTTTTTCAAATATCGCAAATTCGTTTGATGCGTAATATTTTTTTTTCTTTTTTTTTTTTTTAAAAAATATTTTGTGAAAAAAATCTGCGATATAAAAGAGGGGCTGAGTCATTAGAATATTCCTTTAGTTCAGGGGCGTTAAAAATGGGTGTGGTTGCGAGTTGTTGGGATTCTTTTAAAGTGCGTTACATGAATCTATTATTTATTGTCAAACGATGTGACTTTTCGGACCCGGTATCAGAAGTGTGAGGTTGGATTTTTTAAAAATATACTAAAAATACTTTTGTTGGGTTTGTAAGACAAAATTTGGCATCAAATGAAATATAATTGAATGGACTATATGTTTGTTAACTTTTTTCTTCAGTTTAACAAAAATAAACTACCACAGATGACATTGGAATAGCATAGAGGTTCATAAACTAAAATCTTTTCAATTATCTTTCATTTGATACCACAGATTTGGTTTTCCAAATCCAACAAAACTATATTTAATTATTTAAAAAAAATAATAAACCCAGCCTCTCACTTATGATACCGGGTCCAAACAACCGCTTCCTTTGTCAGATTGTCAGCCCCAACTTACACTGCTCAATACTTTAAATTAAGGGATTTAAACAAACATATTCGATTTTAGAAATTGTTCAATTTTGAGATAACTATATTATATTCCTTTCAATACATTTTCAAAACTCGTGATATTTACACACATTTTAAAAATCATCCAAATCGATGATATACATATTTTTTTTTTAAATAATCATCTATTGAATAATATATCAATATTTTATTATCCATAAATGTATAAATGGTGCAACATTAATTTGCGTAAATTTTTATTCAACTAGATTAAAAGAAGCTTATTTCTCACGTTTAATACGATAATTGAATGAAAGGAAAACATGATGCTACATTTAAAGTGTTTTCACCATAAAAACATGTAATTAAGCATGTACTACAAGACTTTGTCTTTAAAAATCGTTATGTAAACTTACATATAATTATTGTAAAATGTCTATTTTAAGAATAGAAATTATGTTACATAAATAAACTAACTAACTAAGGATGTTTGAGTGATATAATTATTATTATTTTCTTTTTTTGTGTGGATTTATTCTAAAATTTTAGAAAATATTTTGTTAATACACATTATGATACAAAGAATAGAAGATTAGCCTTTTAAAGATTTGTTTTTGTATAAGTAATGCTTTAAAAGAAGATTTACTAATCTGCTCTTTTTATTTTTTTATTTTTTTAAAAAAACATATTTTTTTTTACCTTTTCGAATTTTTCGTTCAATTTCATTGTCAGAATTCGAGACTGAAAAAAAGAAAGCAATTTGATGCAAATCTTTACTAAGATACTGATGATAAACTAAGTTATGTCAACATTCTGGAAATTTATATATATATATATATATATAATAGTGTATAATTATGATAAGTCATAATTAAGATTATTAAATTAAAGACATTTTTCTTTAAGACAGTATATTACATTTTTTATTTATTTTGTTGATGGGTAAGTAAGGTTTATCTTTCACATTTTGTAAAATTTGAAATGTCCTGAACTGTAAACAAAATTAAAATAATTAAAAGGTGTAAAATCACAAAAGTATAAAAAAAAAAGATAGAAAATCACATCAACATGACATCAATACCTGCATCTGATGAGTCTTGGCGTTTTCTTTTAAATACGGAACTTCCAACTGCTTTAAAAAAAAAAAAAAAAGAAAGAAATTTAGGCCTAATGCTATTTTTAACATGTTTTGAAACAAAACAGTTCGATGTAGACACTTTCCATACATAAACGTAATGTATTTGTTAAATTTAAGAGCTAACTTTTGAAATAAAGTATATTAAAAGAGTTATAAAATTTTTCCACTTACCTGTATCCATATCTTCTTTTTCTTTATTCTTAGTAATAGCTGTTATAATGAGAAATATATATATATATATATTTATATGTATTGTATGATGATTCCTTTTGAACTTACACATTCCTTTCTCAAAAAAAAAAATCTCTTAAGTGGCCAAATATAATTTTAAAAGAAATTAGTAAAAAATTTTTGTGAATGTATTTTGATTTCACGTTTTGGAATGTTTCGTTTTTGTTAACGTGTTTTGCGTTGAAATTGATGGACAATTTTCGATGGTATATTTTATTAATATATACATATATAAAGAAACGAATTGCTAAAAAAAAAAAAAAAGAAAGAATATCAGCCGGATATAGGGTATTCTTCAGTTAGTCAGACAATTTTTAAATGTAAAAATATTACAAGAGAAATATATTTGCGTTGAAATTGATGGAAAATTTTCGATGGTATATTTTATTAATATATACATATATAAAGAAACGAATTGCTAAAAAAAAAAAAAAAAAAAAAGAAAGAATATCAGCCGGATATAGGGTATTCTTCAGTTAGTCAGACAATTTTTAAATGTAAAAATATTACAAGAGAAATATAGAAAACTATCTATAAAACTTTAATCAGATCAGTTTTTACATATGAAAGTAAAACTTGGACCCAACCAAAAACAGCAGAAAACATATTAAACACATAGGAGAAGAAGGTTCTTAGGAAAATATAAGGGCCAACAAAGGATGAATATGGAGAGAGAATACGAACCAACCATTAATTATACAGTCTACATCAGGATCTCACGATAGTAGCAGAAATAAAATGAGGCAGGCTACTCTTGGCAGGACACCTAGAAATAATGCAAATTGACAGAGGAACAAAGAGGGGGAATCACCAATACCAAAGAGGAAAAAGGCACAAAGGCAGGCATAGGCTTAGGTGGATGGATGATGTGGAAAGAGATCTACAGCAGCTGAAAGTTCAAGCATGGAAAAGAAAGGCATTAGTTAGGTCTGTGTGTAAGGAAGTGGTGAGGCAGACCAAAGCCCTACATGGGCTGCAGCGCCAAAGGGTTGGGTATATAAATATATATATATATTCTAGTGTCTCTGGTTTTTCATTTTTATTTTACTTTAGGAGTTTAAATAGTTTACATATCTTAAATAATTGTAAAGCGCTTAGAGCTGTAAGGTAAGCGCTATACAAAAATGCCTAAATAATATTACTAATAATCGTGCAAAGACCAAAGTAAAAAAGGTGCTGATTCGTGAATTGCTGTTCGCTGACGATGCCGCCTTAACATCTCACACAGAAGAAGGTCTGCAGGGGCTGGTTAATCGCCTATTACATGCTTGTAAAGAGTTTGAACTTTCGATTAGTCTACAGAATGCTCATGTAATGATGCAAGAAGCACCGTCCCTTCCAATCATATCTATTGAGGGTCATAATCTTTGGGTTTTTTATCATTTCATGTACCTGGGATCCAATATTCCTAGTTCTCTCTCCGTTAATGAAGAGATAAATATCAGGATTGCAAAAGCAGCAGCAACTATGGCTAAACTGAATAAGCGGGTGTGGAATAATCTCACTCTAACTGATAAAACAAAAATAAGTGTCTATCAGGCATGCGTGCTTAGCACGCTCCTATATGGTAGTGAAGTGTGGACCACATATACCAGTCAGGAGTGGAAACTCAACAGCTTCCATCAAAAATTTCTGCGTCGCATTTTGCGCATTCGTTCGAAGGACAGGGTGCCTAACGTGGAGGTTTTGGAACGTGCACACATGTTTAGCATAAGCTCCTTTCTTATCAAGAGACGTCTTCGCTGGTTAGGTCATGTACGGAGAATGGAAGAAAGACGTATCCCAAAGATACTGCTATATGGAGAGTTAGCAGAGGGGACAAGACATATTGGACGACCGCGACTGATATATTGACGTTTGCAAACGAAGCATGAGGGAAGCCAATATTGAAACAAACGAATGGGAGTTCATTACCGAACATCGCTCTAACTGGCGAACAGCAGTGTTTGAAGGAGTAAAAAAGGCAGAAGATACTCGAAACGAGGCCCTTGAATCAAAAAGAACAATTCGGAAATCAAGAATTTACCGGGATTCAATATTCTTCTGCTAGGGATGCGGCCGTGATTGTCATTCAAGGATTGGCCTAGTGAGCCACTCGTCAAAGTGTAGAACTATAGAGCTACTCCATCGTATCACGAAGACGGTAGGATGCCATATATATATATATATATATATATATAGATAGATATATATAGATATAAAATATATATTATATGATTTAAATGGTTCAGCCTTTTTCAGTCATCTCAATTTCAAATTAAATAAATTGTTTTAATTTAATTACCTTCTTCAACGTCTGAAATACAATTTTCAATATCTTTATCTGAAAAATAAATGTAAATATTTATTATTATGTTTATCAATGTTTTTTTATATTCGATTATTTAAAAAAATTGTGTATATGTATTTATTATATATACATTGTATATTCTAAAGTCCAAACGGTAAACAACAACATACGACTAAACTTTCAAACGCACATACAAGCATAATGATGAAATATTTATTTTTGTTTATAGAGAATGATTTGAAAACATTTCAACGATTTAATTCATATTAACGAGATGTAAGCTTTGATGTATCCATTTAAAACAACAAAAAAAACAACAACGAAACAAAAAACAATCAATTAAAATTGTATTTCTTAGTCTACTGTTTTTTTCAAGTTTTTGTTTGTTCATTTTATTCTTTAACCTTATGCTTTGAATTTTTAGATTTGAATATTTGTATGCTAACTGTTTAAAAACATATTTTTTTAAAGGCACTAATTAGCCATTTTTAATCTGCAGAATGTTGATAATCTTTTATTCTAATGAGAACATGCACATGTTATATAACGCAAAGTAAAAAATTTATTACCCGCCCTAATAAAAACTATAATATTATTTTTTTAAATTCATTCACCACCAGCTAATGCTATAAATATTATTGTAGCCAACCACTAACCCTCCCCACTTATAAAGCAAATTTACTTTTTAAAAAAATATTTTTTCCGCATTTGAATAAAGGAATTGTTACGGTCAATAATTTTTTTTTCTTCCAAAAATAAATGAATAAATACCGAATATTTAAACAAACAATAAAAAGACGAAACAAACAATATTCTTGCAGAAAAATATATTCCTAAATTTTTTATTTTATTTTTACTAAAAAATTTGCCAATTATTGCAAGAAATTTAAATGGGCCAATTTCGTAAATTTGAAAAGCACATTTTATCCCCAGGTAAGATAGGAACTAATGCATAAGCAATACAGAATATATCGTTATATAACATTGCTGGCCAACCCCTCCCCTCAACCCCCATCCTATATAACTCATAAATAAAGAAATGAGAAACAACTGCTATACCCCCCTCTGTTGTACATAATCTGTGCACGGTGCCATGTGCTTTAAATTCATTTGAAAAAGAAAAAACATATTTTGACAAAAATGTCCCATTATTTTTAGTAAAGTGTTTGTTCTATTTGGTTATTCAATTCAATAAAAACCGAGCTCCCTTGAAAAGGTTTTGGTCTCCAATATCCGTCCAATATTTCTGAACCAATTTAGCCCAGTGGTCGGCAAACTCATTAGTTAAAACAGCCACAAATCAGCAGTAGGCCGATTAAAAAAACTGTTGAGAGGCTATATTCTTTCTTCATTAACGTGTCAATGAAAATGGTTTTTCGGAGTCAAAACTGATCCTGGCGGACTGGCCAAGCCAAACTCAGGTCACCAAAGAGACGCACGCGGCTCGCGAGCCGCTATTTGCCGACCACTATGAGGACATTAGGTTTGTAATAATTTTACTAAAATATAAATTCACATTACGAAACAATATTTACGTCATTTGTTACCTACATTTCTATCACAAATTTAGTATATTAAACATTAATATAGAGATACAGGTGAAACATTAAAAAAAAATTAGTAGTGTCAAGACTTCTATTTATATTTAAATGTTAAGATATATATATCTACAAAACAAGATTAATTGACTTCTTCTTCTGCTACATGTTATTGGTCATTCCAGCTCCTGTTGGCCCGAAAACATTGTTCCATATAGTCCTTAACAAAGGTCTTTGGACAAGACTAGAAGGAGTTATCGGACATATTTGAGGTTTGGGTGGTGTGGTGTTCAATATGGCTCCCCGAAAATAAAAATAAATACCCCAACATGAGCTCCCCATAATTATATAAAGCTTTAATTGTTAATTAGCTGAAATTTAAAAAAAAAATAATAAAGTAATTAAAATCAGACATTATATCAATGAAATTGGAAAAATCTATTTTTGTTTTAAAAGTTTCGAGGTAGAGAAAATGTTGCTTATAAAATAATTTACTTTCTTATATGAAAGGTATAAAAAATAATAGTTTAATAAGTTGTGATAATTTGCAGGCTTCCATTTAACTGGTTTACCTTACGGATAAAAATTGTGCTAATTTAATAATACAATTATTGCTCATTGCTCTAAGTTTTATGCACTCGGTGTAACATTAAATTTTGATACATGTTTATTACAAATTTCTTAATAAATAAAACACATTTAAATTACCCATTTTTCTGTCGCAACGCTATCACGTCCGATGTAATCTTTGTCTGTGAATGAAAGAATAAAATAGGTTTCAAATTATCTTTTAAAAGGGCAATTTACCCGGCGTTTTCCGGGATTGCATTCAGAAAAAAAAGGGAAAAACTTCTTCACCATTTTAACTAACATCGCCGTTAAGCGGCTTGTAAAGAAAAGATAAAGAAAAAATATAAGTAATTTTTCTTCTCTAAAAATACAAAAAACATTTGCTTTAACTCTTTACTCTGTATTTTACTTTTTTTTTTTTTTAAATACAGCCCTTGAGATAACCTTTAACCAAACCGAACCGGAACCAGGTGTTAATCATTCCGTACGACCATGTCAATTATCTTTGCGATCCATTATTTTTTTTTCTCTTGGTATGAAGTGGCTAATTGGCAAACAAAGAAACAAACATAATCACAACGGTCTTTATATTATATATATACATATATATATATATAAATATTTTTTTTTTAAAATTTATAACTTAATTTAAATACAAATAGTCTAGTCTATGAGTACTCATATTCTGACCCGCAAACTAAATCTAACCACGACGTCATGTCAACTTTCCCGCTGATAATTTCAAAATCGTTAATCAAAATAAACATTGTAACAAGAGACCTTACATATAACATTATTCGGTGACTTGTTATCAGCCTTATAAGATCAGCAAAAGTTGACTCGTTATAGCTTAAAGCTTTCGTTCCAGCTCAGCTTGAATACTTTTGCTCACTTTCCTTTAATCCAGTTATAAGCGACCATAAAATTCGCAATCAATAAGAGGTGACCGTTTAAAAGAAATTTAGTTTTAACGATTAATTATTAAATAGTGCGAAGTTGCCAAAATTGTCACCCATCAGAACAGGACAGTGTTTTTTCATGTTCCTTTGCGAGTTAAAGCAGCAAAGACTCATATACAGTGAATATAAACTCAAATATATTTGTAAAATTGATTGTTCTTTGCTGCTAAAATAGCATAACATATTCATTGCTGTTTTAAAGTTATTAACACATGTAAATTTTCATAAAGAGTTGGGTTTTTTTATGCTTTATTGATGTAAAACGACGTTAATCATTGTTGAACTGTTCTTAAAATGATAGCTAACTGCTTCATGGCAAAGCCTTTCATAAGTTTTAATCTCACAGGAAGATGGAAGGATTAATTAAGTCTTGGAGCCACCAATTTAATATGAAAATTAAAAATGTCAAATACTCCATGCTAGGATAAAGTTCAATCCTGATTTAATTAGTTCAACTGTTGAATCAATTAGATAGGTTGTTGGATGAAATACTATTCTCGATGGACTAATTAGTTCAAGTTTTTAATTAATTGGCTCGATTGGTGGATCAATTACTTCAAATTGGTGGTTATTTAGCTCTATTCATGGATTACGTGATCTACTTTTGGATAAATTAGTAAAATTAGTGGAATTCTTGTTTAGTTCAAAAGTTGGATTATTTAGATCATTTTGTGGATTTATTATTTAAATCGCTATATTATTTAGTCCAAAGTGGGAATAATTATTTCAATCAGTGGATTAAGATTTTCATTAAAGGTTTTATTAGTTCAATCAGTGGATTATTTAGTTCAGGGGTCGTTTTAATTAGTTCAATTGAGAATCAATTTTTAAATTGTTAGATTATTTAGTTTAATTGGTGAATTAATTAGTTTCAATGGTAAATTAATAAGTTAAATTCGTAAATTAATTGTTTTAGTTCAAATTGTAGATTAATGAGTTCATTTGTTGGATTAATAAGTTCAGTTGTTTATTAACTAGTTCAAATAGTGAATTACGAATTAATTTGTTGGATTAATTTGTTAAATTAGCAAATTAATGAGCTCAGTTAATTAATTAACTATTTCATTTGGGTTATTAATAAATTCATCTGGTGTATTATTTACTTTTATTGGTGGATAAATTAGTTAAATTGTTGAACCAATTAGTTAAATTGCGGATTAATTAGTTACATTTTTTGATTAATGAGTTTAAATTGTTGATTAATTATTTCCATTGTTTTATTTATTAGTTCACGTTTTGATTAAAAAGTTCCATTGGTTTACTATTTGAGTTTGTGGGACAAATTTTCAATTGTTGGATACATTGGTTCAATCGTTGAATTAACTAGTTTGATTGGTGAGTTAATTACTTTTAATTGTTGTATTAATTAGTTCGATTGGTGTATTATTTAGTTAATTTGTTTGACTGAGTTGTTCAATTGTTTTATTCATGTGTTTAAATGTTGGATAAAGTAATTCAATTTGTGGGTCAATGAGTTCAAGAGTGGGTTAACTCGTTAAAATGGTTTATTAATGAATTCATTTTTTGGAATAATAAGTTCCATTGTTTTATTTATTAGTTAAAATTGTTAATTCAGTAATTGAATTTTTGGATTAATTAGTTAAAGTTGTGAATTAAAGAGTTCAGTTGTTAAATTAATTATTTTAATTATTTTATTAATTAGTTTAACTTATGGATTAGTTAGTTTATTTGTTAAATGAATTTGTTACATTGATGCATTAATGACTCCAAGTGATGAATTTATTATTATTTTTTTTTATTATTAATAAGTTAAACTTGTGGATTATTTAGCTAATTTTTGAATTAATTAGTTTAATTTTGTATTTAATTAATTCAACTTTTGGATTAATCTGTTCAATAGGTGGGTTAATATGTTTTTTTGGTGTATTAATTTCTTCTTTTGGTCGGACAATTGCTAATTCTTTGAATAGTTTGTGCAATAGTAGATTAATTAGTTTAACTACTAAGTTAATTAATTGCTTTTTATTGTTGGATTAATCAGTTCAATTGGTGTATTAATTAGCTCTACTGGTTAATTATTTCATTTATTTAACTTTAATGATTAATTAGGTCAATTCATGATTAATTAGTTTAATTGGTGTATTAATTAATTAACTTGTCTTATAACTAGTTTAACTGGTGGATACATAAGTTTATCTGGTTGGTCAATTAATTAAAGTATGGACTAATTAGTTAAATTGCCTGATTAATGCGTTAAATTTATTGATAAATTAGTTTAATTGCTTCATTTTTTAGTTTAAATCGAAGATTATTTAGTTTAATTGTTGGATTTATAAGTTGCATTGGTGGATTAATCAGTTTAATTGGTGGATGAATAACTTCAATTATTTTATTAAATTTCAAATAATGGATTAAGTATTTCATTTGTTAAATTAATTTGTAACATTGATGGATTAATGAGTTAAATTGGTGGAAACAGCATGTGGAGCATTTAATTTTTTTGGTAGATGATTAAGTTCAAATGATGTATTAATTAGTTTAATCGGTGGATTGAGGTCAATTGGTTCATTAATAAGTTCAATTTTTTATATTTAATTTCAACTTGTGGAATAATTAGTTCAATTGTCTTACATATTAGTTGAAATGGAGGATTATTAAGTTCCTGGTTTAATTACTTTAATTGGCGGATTATGCATTGTTACGCCCCCTATTGTGTTCAATGAATGTGATCAAGCTCGTGGTCTAGGGGTTTTGAAAAGAGGGCTAACACAGGTCGATTTTAGACACACTATTGGTAAATATAAAGACAATCGGTGCACTATATGAATGTACTTTATTACATGGACCATAATGTGAACAAAGATTCATGACATCAACATGTAAAGAAATGAATGCAAGTCTTACACTAACAATATCTAAAATCCTCATAGTAATAATAATATACATAATAATATCGCTAGTCTAAATTCCTAGAATTGATATTTCTGCTAACTATTGAATGGCCATAATCTAGTACTAATCAATGGCAACCGGCAGCTGACCACCTAGTCTCTATCCTCCTCAAGTGGTCTACCCCACTAGGGTCGATGCCTACAGTTAAAGGCCGACTCATTTCGCGTGGCTTGACCATAAAGTAGGTCAAGGTCAGCTCAACTCAAGGTTTGTTGTGCCCGTGTTCCGTTACATACGTCGTGCTTCTTGACTGTGCTAATCTGACACGGCCAGGGCTAATCTGGTACAGAAACAAAAGAGGGCCAACCTCGTAACAGTGTTACAACTAATTATCGACTGGTTTTCAGGTAGCGGTAAGGTCGACGATGTGTTCCACGGTACACAGGTCACGGAGGTTCCCACAGGTCCATTTCTGTCTACAGCCCTCTACGGTGCCATACTAAAAAGATTTCGATATTTGTATTTACATAATAAAAGTTTTTTTCTTGTTTTTAGTTGTATTTTTGTTAAATTGGGTAGGGGTACTGGGGAGGGGGAGATCTCCCATGCCTAGGGAATTTCTGTTTCTTTTTTAGGAATTAATAGTGAGGGGAAGGGTTTGGGGAGGGGTCTCCACTCTCCACCCCACCCCCCTTATAGTTCCTAGAATATCATTCCAAATGCAATTTAAGCAGTACTCTTACTTTGGTTACCTAAGTTTCAACATACAGGTATTTTCAACTAATCAAAATACAGCAACCTTGGTGGGCGTAATTTTTTTTTCACCAGTGTTGGGTCTTGGGGATGTGTTTCTTTTTTCGTTTCTTTTCAAACGTGTAAGTTGAATGTTAATACAAATTAATGGAAACTTTTATTTCAATATACTTCATATTAACCGTGTCGTCCATGACGCGAGTAATGCTCAATAAAGAACAGGAATGTTATAGCACATCGTTCGGGTCCTTCCAAGAATAGATCTATTCACCCCAAGTCAAGTGTTGTAATTCCCCAATGCGACGTCACTGCGCTTAGGGGGAGAAAACTCTTGACAAAACCCATACCATTAACTGAAAATTTTCCTTAATTATCTAATTATCTTACCAAATGTAATTGTTATTTCAATTGGTTGGTTAATCAGTTAAATAATATGGTCAATTTCTTCAATTGTTGGATTGATTTTTGTCAAATCATGGATTTATTAATTTAATTGTTGTTCAAATTATTTATTTATAAGTTCAATTGTTGATTACTTTATTTGCTCGAAAGATGTATTTGTCCGATTTTTCGATCCATTGATAGTTTATTGATCATTGCACGACTAAGTTTATATCGAA